AGGGTCTCTGCTATCTCTTTGTGTCTGAGGGCCTCCCTGCTATCTCTCGGGCTCCGCTGTCTCTGGGTCTCTGCTATCTCTGTGTCTCGGAGGGTCTCCGCTGTCTCTGGGTCTCTCTGCTATCTCTGTGTCTCTGAGGGTCTCCCTGCTATCTCTGTGTCTCTGAGGGTCTTCGCTGTCTCTGGGTCTCTCTGCTATCTCTGTGTCTGTGGGTCCCCCGCACTCTCTGGGTGTCTGCCCCGTCTCTGCGTCGCGTCTCTGGAGCAGAGCCAGCCGCCCTGTGTGTGTCCCCCGGCCCCGCGGCTGAGCCTCCGGGTGTGCCTCTCCCCCTGCAGACAGAGCGAGCCTACCAGAAGCAGCCGACCATCTTCCAGAACAAGAAGCGGGTGCTGCTCGGGGACACGGCCAAGGAGAAGCTGCCCAGATATTACAAGAACATCGGGCTGGGCTTCAAGACCCCCAAGGAGGTGAGCTGGGCCCCTGCCCCTCCCCCGCCCCTGCCCCTCCCCCGCCCCGCCCCTCACCTTCCCTCTCTTCTCCTCCAGGCCATCGAGGGCACCTACATTGACAAGAAGTGTCCCTTCACCGGCAATGTCTCCATCAGAGGCAGGATCTTATCTGGTGAGTCAGGGGCCCAGTGGGAGGAGGACTGGGAACCCCAGCCCGCGGGCACCCTCTCTCACCTCTTGCCTTGCCGCCCCCAGGTGTGGTGACCAAGATGAAGATGCAGAGGACCATCGTCATCCGCCGGGACTACCTGCATTACATCCGCAAATACAACCGGTTCGAGAAACGCCACAAGAACATGTCTGTGCACCTGTCACCCTGCTTCCGGTGAGGCCTGGGGGCTCCGACAGTGGCAGCTGGGTGGTGACCCCGGGGCCTCTCGCTCTGAGAGCCAGGTTTTTTGAAGGGGAGCGGGGACACTCCGTGTCCATGAGCCCTCATAGACCGGCGTGACCATCACCCCAGGACTGTCAGGAAGAAGCCGGGGCGAGACCCCTTAGAGCCTGGCTGGGGGGTCCCGGCCCCGGGGCTGACGGCTGGGGTGCCAAGACCCCCAGGAGCCCGTCTCTGCACCTTGAACTGATCTCTGGGACGAGCCAGGGATTCTTAGATGGAGGTGAAGTGGGAGAGCGTGCCAAACTTGTACAAAGACACAGAGGTTGGAGATGGCCAGCTTTGT